CGAACCCGTGTCCCCTGCATCGGCAGGCGGACTCTCAACCACTGCGCCACCAGGAAAGCCCCAAGAGTTTGGATTCTGAAGTTAGACCTGAATTTGCCAGATGAGGCTGGGGAGTTACTAACCTGAGTGTTGGTTTCCTTTAATTAGGAGTAATATTAATACTACTATTTCATAGGGTCGTTATAAGGATTAGATATGCTAATTCATATAAAAGTGCTTTTTCTAGGGTCTGGCACATGAAAGTAATACTCAGCAAATATTTAGTTGTTTTTACCAATACACCACAGAAGGCGTATCTAGCCTAGTATTTTGCTGTAGACAAATCCCCTCCTGTCGTGGACCTATCATCTATCCAGGGCCAGGCCTTTGGACCCATCTTTCTAGTAACTACTATTCGCAATTCAGTGTCAGTAATGTTGCCCATTCCATCCTATCTCCTCACACACAACTATTTCCCTCTCCCCCATACAAACTGAAGAGCTTAGAAACATGGGGAAAGACCCCTGAGCAGACACGATGGTGTCGCAAGATCTACAGGCTTCCTCTTGAGTAGATTAGTCCGTAGACCAGCGTCTCTAACTCTGTACTGTCCAAGGTTGACAAGTTACACAACTTGGTTATCTTCTCCAGTTCATAGATGCCTGTTTAGACATATAAACTATAAAGCGGACCATTTGTAGGAAAGACCTCGGGATGGAAAACAGACAAGAGGAAGAGGAGAATCACAGAGCACTTGCAGAGCGTTGTAAGGGCCCAGCTGCCTTTCTGATCACCCTCGAGTCATTCTTGAATTGTGGTTCAGCAAAATACTTAACATCAATACGATGTGATTGAGGAAACGAAGGCAGCACTTTCAGAATATACCCTTCCTGCCCTCAAGATGGCTAAAACAAAAAGTTCTGGATATAAATTCTGGTTTCCAGGGAAATCCAGTCATCCAAGTGGGAGCATTTCTTAAAACTATCAGACAAAGGGATTTTCACCACATTCTGACATCAGCACATAATCTCTGGGCCATCTAGGAAGTAAGCAGTATTAAATATCATCCCAAGCACAATCTGGTCTATAACACTTGGTTTCAAGAACTGAAATACACTGATACTGTCATTGCGCTTACTTTTTAAAGGGCACAAATAACCCCTCGTAACTGTTTACATATTCTGCCATCTGATGTTCATGAATCTATGAGAGCTCAGGTGTAAAATAGCGTAAAGAATATTGTCTTGGCTTTAGAAAGCCTAAGAATTAATTGCCGAAGCCTAACAGAAACTCTTAGAAAATAATGGGTTCAAAGCAAATTAACAGATTGAAAAAAAACCCCCAGCAAAAACAGCATGTGCATGCCCAAAGGAGAAAAGAAACAGTTGATTAAATTTGTTCCATCAGGAAACCTCCCCAGAGACAGAGAAATTAAATTTTCAACAGTGCTGCTGGCTTGGCAGGAGCTGGGAGGGGCGGGGAGCTCCTGGGCTTCCCTTTGGGAAAGTCTGGGAACCAAACTGCCCAAGCATCACAAGCAGGACCAGCTCATTTGAAGCCAATTTCTGACACATTCAGATGCAGTTAAGAAAAAGCTTGGTAAGTCACATTCAGCCCTCCAGGCTGAGAGAGCAGGGGTCAAAAACAGCACTTTGAGTTTTGGACAGCAATTGGCTACAAATGGGAGATTTGGGGGAATAAGAGTGTCATGAAACATAAAAGAAAAAAGTCTAACACTTTGTCACGCTGAGTCTCTTTTTAACATTAAGTGTTCACTGTTTCTCAGCTACTGGTGCAAGTTGTTTAAAATGGATGTTACGAGACATCTCTATCTGTAATGGTGACTTTATATACTCAGAGATGTAAATCCTGTGAATGGTCCAAGTTAGTGATTCTTTCCAGTTGCTGCTGCCACATGCTGAAAGGGAGCTCTGTCCTGAGTCAGACTTTCCATGGAGGGAACTTTCAGCATCGCATTGTAACCTAGCGCTCTTCATAACCTCCTACACTCTGACCCAGCTGGGGATGTTCTCCACGGTACATAAATGGCCCTGGACTCTCAGACCTACCTCCGTGGGGTGCAGTCATCATGTGGGGGGATAATGACAACTTTCACCGTGACAGATGTTCTCAGGAGATCGATCATCTGCTCGTGGCTCAGAGTGGCCACCGCCACCTTGCAGATCTCCACCAGCCGGCTGCCCTGCCTCAGCCCTGCCTGCCAGGCATAGCCGTAGGGCTCCACATCTGCCACGATGCCCTCGTAGTTGACATGGAAGCCAAGCTGTCCCAGCCCATTCCTTCGCAGAGTCATCTCCACCGATTCACAGCCTTTTGACACGAACTAGACAAAGAAACAAAAGATACACAGGGGTCTTCAGTGGTACGCATGGCAAGCAGGGTTATTTCTGAATACCCTAATGCCAGCTGAAGAGCAGCCTGGTTATTTTGCCTTCACTAATCTCCATTCATTAGGCCAAAAAGAACACACTCATCTCAACGGCTTCTCAGCGACCTACAGGGAGCTGGCAGCAAAGAAAAACGGTATTCTGCTACTCATTTTGCCCTTAAGACAGACATTCAAAGCAGCAGATACCCGATCCAACAATTCTTTTCACCAACTAAAGCAGATTGGCTGGGCTACGTCATCAGTCACAAGGCAATGGGATCAGGTCACATGCAAATGAGTTTCCAACAAAAACGCACAATGTGCCTTCCCCCATTTGTTCTACTACTTTTCCTTCTGAAAAAAATGATGGGAAGCAAGTGTGACATACACTCTGTGTTCCTTTGCATTGTTAAGGGAGTTTTCAGAGGAGCTAATAAAACAGAACAAGCTTCTGTAACTTAGCTCTAGCCTATACTGAAATCTTTATGAAAGGGACATGCATGTAGGTAAGTGGAAGGAAAACACTGACCTGAAGCCTTCTGACAATCTCTTTGATGTCCTCATTGTTAATGAAACTCTCCACTGACACACATTCACCTCGTTCGTAGAAGATTTTGAGGCTGGTGTCGGTTGAGGTCCACCCGATCACATCTCTGCAGGAACAGTTGAAAACCACGCTCTTTGTTTCCTGTTCGATGAGGACGATGAACTCATTGGAGACCCCGAGTAGGCAGTCTATCTCCATAGCCTTGTTGTAGTCTTTGGCCCGGACAGCCCACACAATGGCCCCCATGCTACTGAGCTCAGCTCCTGGGTATGGCTTAGACTTTTCTTTCTTCTTGGAGGCCAGAGAGATGAACGGAAACTTGCCGGACGGGTCAATAGGGGTGTTGGTGACATTCTTTTCTGCCAGATCTTTCAGGTATTCTTGACGTGTCCGGGTTGCCATGGCCCGGAACTTCTCTGACTTATGAGCGGCATTTTCTGCATTAATCACTTTGGCCAAAAGGAAGTCCCTGAACACATTTGACTTAGGGAAAGTGACCCCTTTGGGGATGGGAGGTCCAAAGGAAGGCACATCTCTGGACCTGGTGACGGCCACACTAAGAGACAAAGCAAAGATCAATGAGAAAGAGGCTTGTCAATACTTCTCAGACTCACAGCATGAGAATAAAATACACTTTCTCAAAGACAAAGATGCCCTTCAGAAGGAAAATAATTGTCATCATCCCACAAGAAACAACACACACTTCTACTTAACATGTGCATACTTTTCATTCGCTCATATTTAGGATTTATAGAACAAAATTTTTTCTAGGTCAAAATACCCAAAAAGCTTAAACTAAAAATTTAAACCAACCATAACTCCATGAAAAAAAAGATTTATTGTAATATTCTTCATAGTAGATAACATTTTAAATTCCTAGTGATTATTTCCAAAGTGGGGAGGGGGTTGGCTACTATAACCATATAACCTTTCAGAACAAGCACAGATTATGTAAGAACATAAATGTTATCCCCATTTTAGATATGATGCCCATAGCAGTCAGCTTATAATGAAAATATCCACAGATGCATGACATAAGAGAAATGGATTAAATTAAAAAAAAATTAAACAAATATTATTTGTTGTCCTATGTGTCAGGCCTTAAGCAACCAGATCAAAGAGCATAATTTTAAAACAAAAATTGAAATCTGAGTAACAGAAAGAGATTATGATTTTTTTTTTGGTAATAGCAACAGTGCTTTAAAATCATATTTTTAAACTTTGGTCCCAATTCTCTACCTTTGGTAATGGAGTCTGACTATTTGTGAGACTATGCTCCTTTTCCCATTCCTTTAAGCAAGACTGATTTAAGAAAGCCTGTTCCACATGGACATATATACATTACCAAATGTAAAATAGATAGCTAGTGGGAAGCAGCCGCATAGTACAGGGAGATCAGCTCGGTGCTTTGTGACCACCTAGAGGGGTGGGATGGGGAGGGTGGGAGGGAGGGAGAGGCAAGAGGGAAGAGATATGGGAACATATGTATACGTATAGCTGATTCACTTTGTTACAAAGCAGAAACTAATACACCAATGTAAAGCAATTATACTCCAATAAAGATGTTTAAAAAAAAAAAAAAGAAAGCCTGTTCCAGTCATTTCCTCTGCATCTACACTGCTAAAATTGGGACTAAGAAAAGGATCATACAAGCATCTGTAAGAACCTATTATTTTTATTCTCAAAAGGAAAAAGACTAAGTTTTTCCTAAAACAATAATAACAACAACAACAGAAATTAAATGGAGATAGGAGATAGGTTGTATGTTTTATACCATATTTCAAGATCTCCTTCCAGGACCTCAGCAAAGTTTGAGAGGGCTGGAAATGAAGATTCTAACAGATTAAACATCCCCTTTTCAAATTATCTAATTATTTAAAAGTGAGTCAATTATGCAACTGTACTAAGTATTAGTACACAAAATGTGTTTCTCCAGAACTCCCAGAATGGGAAGGACATAATCAGAGAGTGTGCATCTTTCAAATTAAACTGAAGAGCTCTGCTGCACTATTTTTTCTTTATTTCAAGGGTTTGCTTGAAGATATTCAGCTTTGCTTTTCAGAAAATGATTGTTGCTTGTGAAAATAGGATAAATAAATAAAAATCAGCAACCTCAGAAGACAAACTATATATTTTGTTAGAAAATGCCACAAGACAGCCTATTTCTGAAAATGGCTTTACACAAATTCATTAAAAAAAAAAAAAAAAGAAGACTACCTAGTTCACTTCACGACAAAGAAAGGTGGCAAGCAACATCCCATTTTCTAACTGGAGATGAGAATTCACAGAAACCTCCACATGCGTGATAGCCTAATTACATCAGTATTAGAAAGGCAATTTTTCTTGTCTAATGTGAACTGTCTGGCTTGAATGCTGACAGCTATATAATTTTAATTTGATTATGTTATTTTTTTTTCGAGTCAAGCAGATGACGCTAATATCCAGATTTGCTAGCTTTTCTAAGAGGAATCCCGTAAGGATCCAGAAATATTTAATATCTTTCATTTTTAAATTGGCAATTTCTTCTCTTGCTAATTTCACATCATTATTCTCTCAAGAAACAGCTGTGATTTTATTTTAAACAAGGAGAAGAAAATGCTTAGCAGAAGGTGTCAATATGAGGACCATCCATCCACTTGCCCCTTAAATTCACTGGTTATCTATAGATCTATTTATTAATTAATAGGACTTTAGACAAACATATACTGAAAACCCACCAATAATTAGAAGCCTCTAGAATGAACTATGAGGGAAAAGACTGAACCCTTAACATATAATTATCAGTGATTCATCATGGTAGGGAGGTAAATGATACAGACACTAAAATCAGCTTTGCATCATTAGAAATAGAATCCTCACAGAAGATGAGGAAGATGATACCCTAGAATGTCCTTTTCAAATAAAGGGTTTTGTTTTGGGTAAATTTAACTTTCAAGGTTTTCTACAAGGTTAAAAGCTCATTAATTTAGATGCCACCAATTCTGAACTCTTAATAAGGCCTGTTTTAAGTTGAGAGAATATTTTTGCCTTCCTAAGAAGCCTTTCTAGAATTTCAGTGTGCTATATATAGATACTTGAGGTGTATTAATTATAAATGGTTTTTGCTATTTTTTTTTTTTTTGCGGTACGCGGGCCTCTCACTGTTGTGGTCTCTCCCGTTGCGGAGCACAGGCTCTGGACGCGCGGGCTCAGCGGCCATGGCTCATGGGCCCAGCTGCTCCGTGGCATGTGGGATCTTCCCAGACCGGGGCATGAACCCGCGTCCCCTGCATCGGCAGGCGGACTCTCAACCACTGCGTCACCAGGGAAGCCCAGTTTTTGCTATTTTTAAAAACAGATTCCAAAGGGCTTCTTGTCTACACTTATGTTTGCCTACTATGCAATATTGTATCTTCTTAGAAATAACACATTCTTTAAAATTATAGCCATGCCTTATTTGCTCAGCATTGTCAAGGCCTAGTATGTTGTACTCAAGAGGGTTATCTAGATGACAGAACAGACAGAAGATCGGAGGCTGAAACAGTTATAGAAAGTTAGCACTGGGGGGTGGGGGACTTAGAGAAGTCAGGGTTCCTCAAACTCTGCCAATAAAATCTTGAGTTTCATCTTAACACTCATCTTGATTTTGCATTCCACTGAAGAATATTTGTATTCTTTTTAACACAAAAATCTGTTCTGTTCCCCAAATCTCGGAGTACAACTGAGGGAGCAGGAAGGTGTTCTGTTTCACTCTCATTTGACACAACCCTGAACCTCCCTTTGAACAGCTGGTAGACATTCTTCACTGCTCCAGGAAACAGACTCAGAGAGGTAAAATGATTTGCCCAGAGCTTGTTAGAGAAAGCCAGGACTGGAATCTGAGCTTCTGGATGGCCAGCAGTGTGACAAGACCATACATTCCCTGAGTGTGGAATCTTCCACTCTTGAGGTGCTTGCAAAAGGGACCATCCACAGGAGTCACATGGCCAAAGAGACCACCATTATAGGCTGTTTCTAGTGAGCCTGGGCGTTTGTTGGCATCAAAGACCTTGGATAAAGTAGCAAGTTGATACATGGGAATGTTCCAGAGACATCTGAACAGAGGTCTCAATGAAAAAGAGTGAGAAGAATAAGACACTTGAACTTCTGAAGCACCATGGAAACAGCAATCAACAATGAAGTTTAAAAAGGGAACTTAGCATCAAAACAGTAGAGGGAAGTTTCCGCTTGAAGCTTAGATCAGACTGCCAGCTTGGGGAGCTTTCCAAGAAAGCAGACCTTGGCAAAGGACAGGAAAGATGAGTGGCAGAACAAATGTGTGCCCACTGTTCCCTCTTGGGGCCTCTCCACTTCTAATAGTCTTCAATCACCAGCACTCACTGCGCACTGGCTATACGCCAGGACCAAGGATGAGACGTCACAGGCTCAGCCCTGCAGAAGCTCAAAGCCTGGTGGGGCTACCGCTCGTGGTGTGAGTGCTCTCCTAGGGAGGTGTAGCGTGCTACTGGAAACACTTCGGAACGGCACTTTATCCAGTCCTGGGAGGTCAGGGGAGCACTCCCAGAGAAAAGAAGAGCAGGCATTCATTGGATGAAAGTGGCAGGGGTGTGTGAGAAGAGGCATTCTTGCCCAGAGAGCGGCATGTGCAGAGAGGAGGGGCTGTTAAGTAGCTCTATGCTGGGGAGAGGACTGGAAGAGGTGCCAGTGGGCGCTGAGGGACAAGAGAGGCCAGACCTGAAGGGCTCCATGAAGTAGGCTATGCTGAGGAGTCTCAAAGTTGCCCCAAATGGGGCTTCCCTGGTGGCGCAGTGGTTGAGAGTCCGCCTGCCGATGCAGGGGACACAGGTTCGTGCCCCGGTCCGGGAGGATCCCACGTGCCACGGAGCAGCTGGGCCTGTGAGCCATGGCCGCTGAACCTTCGCGTCCGGAGCCTGTGCTCCGCAACGGGAGAGGCCACAGCAGTGAGAGGCCCGCGTACCGCAAAAAAAAAAAAAAAGTTGCCCTAAATGGTTTTAAGCACAAAGAGTGACATATTCAGAGTTTTGTCTTAGAAAGGTCAGCTGCATGGGACAATAGGGATGCTGATTAATGATGGCTTGGAATAGACTTTCTGAAAGAAATTCCCACCTTTGTTATTTTTCTTCCTGGTTGAAGCTTGCATATTTATTTATTTTTATTCAAGAGGAGAAAAGAAAAAGGCATGGTCATTTAATGTGCATACACAACACTCCCTGCCTACACCAGATACTTTACTTATGGGATTTCAGGTAGATGTCAAGCCACCTTCCATTGAACAGAAAGGGAAATTTAAAATCTGATATGTTTAACTGTCTGGTCTGATTCCAGGTGTTTTTTATACTACATCACACTAACTCCTTTCAACATTTATTACATCTTAACCACTGAGTACAGAAATCTTTCTGAGAGGAGTAACATATATATCTACCTTCCCAAACATAGTTACTGACCACAATTTAACATCTGTTTTTGAAGTCAGTCTTTATAAAAACCACTTACTATTATACTAGTTTTGAAATGAACAATAATTCTTTAATTTCATCATAGAGTGAATCAAAGTTCTACCTTTCAATTGTTTAAGATGCCCAAGATTTTTAAATAGTCTGTCTGAAATGAATCCAAATAAGGCCCATACATTACAATTAATTAATTTTACCTTAAATTTTTATATTCTGTTAATGCCCCTCCACTTGTCTTACTTCACTTCTCTTTTATTTCTTGCAATTTATTTGTTGAGGAAACTGGGCTATGTGTCACATAGTCCAGAGCCTGAATTTTGCTGAATACAAACATGTTCTTTGGTCTTTTGTATTTCCTGGCCTCTCTAGAGGTTTGATTGGATTCACATTCAATTTTGGGAAGAGAGGATAAGACTAATTCTGAGATGCGGTTGTATTCTTCCATTATGAGACACGCATTTGTCTCTTTTTATGATGTTTCCAGCCTTTGATGATCAATGCCTAGATCCATTAATTTATTACCTGTTAAAAAAAAATGGTGACAAAGTTTTTGCACCATGTTTTTACAAAGTGAGGCCCTTGGGGTGAGTGATGGATATTTGGTTGTTTGGTCCCAAACCAAGTGACCCCAGACTGCTATGCTTATTGAATTTGTACCTTTAATGTGAATCATTTTCTACATCTCACTTATTGGTAATCACTTATTGATGCTTTCAGTACATCCTTGCCACTAAACGGCTCATCTTTTTGATTTGTTGCTTCTAATCTGCTCTATCAACTGAAACCAGACAATTAAGCTCTTTGTAATGATACAAGTAAAATAATAGAGACCAGAGGGTCCTCTTATCAGGTATGGGCATAATAAGCTTTTGAACACAGACTTAGTGATTAATTTCTGAGTTCTTGGCTATGTCTACTATTCAAGGTTAACTGGCCTCTGGAATTAACTTAAACTAGTCAGTTTTTCCTGTATAAACTTTCTAGTTCTGAGGGTGATACAACACACATTATTTCAGAGCCTCATTTCCATATTCCCTATAGGGATTTTTGTCACTTTGTTCCCCCGTTGAATCCCAGAGCCTAGAATAGTGCCTAGTATATTTTGATAAGGACTGTAAAGAACTAGTGAAAAATAAATGAATAACAATAAAGCCTAAATTTGTGTTTCTGTATATAAATTACCTCGCTCGCATGGTGACGGTGAGTAAATTTTCCTAGAACTATTTATACAGTGTTATTTGCTGGCCGAGCATTCCAAGGGCTTCCAATGCCCACTAATCTTTCTGACAGCATAGCCTTCTTACTGTACTTTCCACTTTCCTTCCTGTGTCTACGTGTTCATCTATACCACCTTCCACCCCTAGACTCACAGAATTATTCTGATTTTGCCAATGAATTTCACCACCTGTGCTTCAAAACACACACCGAATCCCATTTTCTCAGTTAAATGTTCTTTATATCTTTAGCCTGTACTGACCCCACAATTCTCTACACAATTAGAGCAAGACATTCCTTTGAGGAAATAACTTTCCACACTTTGGGCACCAGTAAATAAAAGTGAGTGTTCACAGTGGAGAAAGTGGGAACAAGAGATTTTAAATGATGAAAAGGCTTTGAATTATTCTAACTACACCTCTTAGAGATAAATGAGATTTAAATAAAATTTGTACAAATTAAATGCATCTCTAAGCTTTCCCACCAGAGTATCCCTAATGAAGGAGGCCTATAAATTCACATATCTAGTAGTTTGGAGAGGGGCCAACGTATGAGAAAAAGCCACAGGTATGAAAACTCTTTGAAGACCCACTTTGTATCTTAAAATTGATATAAATTTTCCATTCTACTTCATAATACATTTATTTTCTCATGAAAATAAACATCCCTTCCCCCAAGCATTAAAGACTACAAGAGAGGTACCCTAGTTATTCTGGGCCTTTAAACACCTCCTGGCATCACCACATACGCCGGGAAACACACCTACTTGAGTCTGAGAAGGACTGAGAAAAATTCATGTACCCAAAGTTTATAATAGGAAAAGATCACTACTTTAGTTCCAAAAATCACAGTGCACTGGGTCTTCAAGTAAGCTTGGCAACTAGGGGAATTCCAGACTAGCCCATGTCTTGTGAGCAGGGGTGTCCAGTGTCCTCCTGCAAAGGTTCCCGGCATCACAAGGTGGGCTTAAGAAGATGGGCTCTCCAGGTAAGAGATTAAAAATAAGAAAGAGAGAGAGCAAAAATCATGAGTTTCAGGCTGGGAAGGAGGGTTTGAAAAGAATGAAACAGATATCACTTACTCATCCAGCCAAGTAATGAAGAGGGTTCAGACACCTTTGCTCCTTATCAGTCTATTTAGACTTGCACTGGCCATACTTCCAGTGGCTACTGAGTACTGGACATGTAGCTAGTGTGACCAAAGAGTATTAAATCACATTAAATTTTAAAAACTGACACTCGAGTCAGTTTTTCAAAAGTCCTTGAAGGAGAGGGAGACATACTTAAAAAGTATGTTTCCAATAAAAGCTATTATGAATCTACTTCTCCAATTAGGAATTCTATGAAATCTAAATACAGATTATTTCCAATGAAAACTGAGCATCCTGAGATGAGCTGTAAGTCAAAAATGCACTCCAGATTTCAAAGCCTTAGTCCAAAAATACGTAAGATGTCTCAGTAATTTTTAAAATTTAAAAATTACGTGTTGAAATAATAATATTTGGATATATCAGGTAAATAAAATATACTATTGGGTCAAAAAACATATTGTTAAATTAATTTTACCTATTTCTTGTTACTTTAAAAATATGGCTATTGGAAAATATAAAATCGATATGTGACTTGCATTATATTTCTATTGGACAGCACTTTATTTAGACAAACACCTTTAAAAGAAGAATCTCTTTTTAAAAGAAAGTACATAGCTTTCACTCCCCAAACTTCCTAGTGACCACTGCAAAAAGGATTTAGTTTTCTATCTACAAAGTAGTATGAAATCCTTTGCACGAATCCAGTACATAGAACATTTCAATTGCTTGGGGTATTTTCTAAACGCAAATAGTTATCCACCCCAATTACAGTCAAATGTTCTGCACTAATTCTTTCCTTCTACACCTAAATAAAGCAGCTTTTGGGGACCATATTCTTGAGAAAAAGCTTCAGATCTAGGTTTCTTTTGTTTGAGTTTCCACCCACTGAGTCTCGGAAGCTACAGAACTCCCTGGTCTGGGGTTTTCATATTGGCACCCGAGAAGTTCAGGAATAGCTAGTACGTCAGCAGCAGGGGCAGCAAAGACCCCTATTGCACACGGCACGGAGGGAGACAGCATGGCAGAGCCATTAAGAGACTGCGCTCTAAAATCAGACTTGGTACATTCAAACCTAAACTCCACCCAGTACCAGCCGACCTCGTTTAAATTACCTTACCCCCAAGCGCTTAAATTTCCTCATCTGAAAACAGGGATTAAAACAGCACCTACCTCAGAGGTTTTAAAAATTAAATGAGGGCTTCCCTGGTGGTGCAGTGGTTAAGAATCCGCCTGCCAATGCAGGGGACACGGGTTCGAGCCCTGGTCCAGGAAGATCCCACATGCCGCGGAGCAACTAAGCCCGTGCGCCGTAACTACTGAGCCGGCGCTCTAGAGCCCAAGAGCCACGACTATAGAGCCCGCATGTCACAGCTACTGAAGCCCACGTGCCTAGAGCCCGTGCTCCGCAACAAGAGAAGCCACCGCGATGAGAAGCCCGTGCACCGCAACGAAGAGTAGCCCCCGCTCGCTGCAACCAGAGAAAGCCCGCGTGTAGCAACAAAGACCCAACGCAGCCACAAATAAATAAATAAATAAAATAATTTTTAAAAAAATTACATGAAGTAACACAAATAAGGTGCCTAAGATCAGAGCTGGGCTTCTAATTAGAGCTCATCATACGTAGTTACTGTGGAATGGGCAAGGATGATGGCAGTCAGCAGGAGTCCAATGTAACCTTGACTTGTTTTGTTCCCTGAACTTGCTTGTTCTCCTATATTTAACCTGCATTACACCTAGGGATTAGACAGTTGTAGATCTCACAACAAACCAATTATCAGTCTGCACTGGCCACTTTCTGTGTAGGTGGCTCTGTTAATTCAAAAACAAAAATCCAAAATTAACAAAGCCTTGTCTTCTAAATTTTAGCGATGGAAAGATACGATAATCTTTCATATTTTGAAAGGATAGATTCCTATTAGGACATCTTACTAATGCTAGAACATCCTTGCACATCTTCTTGGCACTACACTCATGGCAACACAGCATCACAGGTTCGTACCCTCTTCAACCCAACCCTCTCCAGGATTCTTGCAGAGGCCTCTGCAGGTAGATGCTTGAATTCTGATACTCATGAGACTAGGTCAACGAGGGACACTGAAACCATTCCACCAAATGCTTAACAAAGCACAGAAATACCCCTAAGGTTGCAGTCAGAAATGTTAGAGGTAATCAAGTCAGCCCTAAGCAAGGGTTTGGGCTTTTTAAAAATAATAATAATAATTTTAAAAAATTAAACTTCTCTTCCCTACTTATTATGATCATTATTCTCTGCTTTTGGCATGGCAAAAGCAAAATATAATTAGCAGCATGAGTAATTAGCTGGTGTCCAGATGGCATGGATGAAGGATGCCACCTAAGAAGGAGGTGCAAATGGAAACGGCAGGTGTCTAACCAACATGTCTGGGGAATGTCAATGCCATCAGGTTACGTCATCCTGTGAATTCAGCCATCCGCAAGCATAGTTTAAAGACAGAAATAAATAGCAATAGACTTCCCACTGCAACTTCAGAAAGCAGAGTTGGAGGGGGCCTTCGATGTGACCACGCACCAATGCCCATCCAGCCACCTCTGGAGCCAGTACCTGTAACAGACACTGTCAGTGCAGGGGTTGTGAACCCTGACAATGACGAAAACGTGCTGAAAGTGGGATCGGATGTTTTTCGGGCTGAATGGCTGTGCTCCAGGCTCTTGGAAAACAATTGTTACGATATCGTTTCCAATGTGCCGCTTCCGTAGGAGCTAAAAGAAAACATAAGCAAGAGACATAAATGACAACGCTCTGCTTGTAACTCCCCGATTCCCTTAGGTGACTGTATTTAAAACATTCATTATTAATCAGTACATATTAGGGGAGGTAACCTACACAGTTATTGCCAATATTTTAGCTGGTCTTATCATTCCCTCCAAGGAAGAATACTGAAATGAATATTCAGAAATTTGCATAAAACACACAGTCCATTCAAATAGATCTAACTAATCTCTAGCATATTACGCCAAGTCCCAGCATCTCCAAATCTTCAGTTTCCATAACAACAGTTTTGTTCCATTTTCATGTAAGAAAGAAACTTGCCATAGGGAATATTTTTTAAAGATGAGAACGGCTAAAGTAATTACAACGCAATTTATGTTCTGATTTAATTAGCTTCATTTAAAGAAATGTGGCTTAGGTGTTTTCTGATAATACTTTTTGTGGCACAAGCTGGGAATACAGAAATTAATAATATTCCAAAATGTTCTAACAGTTTTAAAGCAGGTTAAATTTCAGGTTTAAATAGCTTCTTTAATTACAGTGAAAGCTGCTTAAGACCACCTTCTGTTTCACATTAAACGGTGTTTTGGGAAGGTAGCTTTCAAATTCAGGCACTCCAAATCATCCTAGCTCAGCGCCTCTCTAGGAAGGGGTTATTAGGGAGTTTAACTCAATAATGTGAAGAAAAACTGAACAAAATTTGTATTACTCATATTTATTACATGGAGGCTCCTACCAGGAGGAAAACAACTAAACATGACATTTATGTAAACTATCCATTAGACATAAGCTTGTATTTATAAACCTTTTAGAAAAAATTCTCCAGTGACTTTAACTTACACAGATTACGTATCCGTAAAATCAGTGATTGAATACTGGCTGCCAGCTGGGAGAAACAACAGCCTATTAGATTAGGGTTGAGAACTGGGAGTTAGAACGTTCGGGAAATGTACTTTTAAGCTTAGGAATTTTAAAGCATCCCAAATGATCTTCTAATGAGGCTGTGTACTTCATTTCTAAACATGCTATATTATCAGATGTTATAGAAATAAAGGCTGCTCTGTATTGACTGCTATATAAAATATACCCATCATCAAAGATTATTAATCTCCTCAGGATCTTGAACCTATCAAGCTCAAATACTATGTATATGTCATTCCTGCATAGATGCCACTGTCTTTTTTTTTTGGCGGTACGTGGGCCTCTCACTGCCGTGGCCTCTCCCGGTGCGGAGCACAGGCTCCGGACGCACAGGTTCAGCGGCCATGGCTCACGGGCCCAGCCGCTCCGCGGCATGTGGGATCTTCCCAGACTGGGGCACGAACCCACGTCCCCTGCATCGGCAGGGGGGGGGGAGGCGGGCTCTCAACCACTGCGCCACCAGGGAAGCCCGCCACTGTCTTTTTGATACAATGTCATTCTTCCTTCAAAATATGGCCTGATATGTAATGTTACTGTCTTACTAAAGGACCCAAAGAGAAATACACCTATCCATCTCACATTATATATAACGAAAAAAGAGACAGTATTTATAAACCAATTTCTGCAAAAAGATTTTGAAAGACACGTTCTTTCTGGTTTTTCCAAGCATAACATAATCTATGTAGAAGAAATACATTCTTTAGCTAGAGAATTTTAAATTTCTTAATATGTAGAATACCAATTATTCTTTCACTCTGATTCAGGACCATAATACTTTTGCCTTGATTGGACCCCAAATTAAATAATTTGGATGGATGTCCACTTAAATGCCAACTCACTCAGCTCAGCCCTTTGACTCATTTAGCTGGATATACAATTGAGTCTTGTTACTAAATTTTTTACCCCCATTCCCCCACATGTTACCTTTCTCTGCTGAGCAATCACATACAATAAGCCTTCATCTCCCCTTTAAAGATCATTTGTTGATGTTCTTAAATTCTCTCTACTGTCTGGTCAGAGTGAGTTTAGTATATTTTTCTTAGCATGGTGCTTTCCTCTCAAAAATCTAGAACTTGGAATTTGCATAAAACAAACTGTCAACAAACTCCAGATAGGGGAATTTATCTTAAAATAGGTTTATTTCAGATTTATAGCTGATTCATTGCTTTGCTTCCTTGGTTTTGATTGCTTGGGTAATCGTAAGAGGCAAGATTTTGTTACTGAGATGTGTGATGTAATCAAGCCTAAAGTGACGATGTGTTAGATTCGATCCATATTTTGTTAAATTCTGTGAAAGAGGATGTGATTCATTCTGCAGCTGGCCCTGTGATCTGTTAGTACAACAATTGACAATAACAAAAACTATGTCCGTTTTAAGGTCAGAAGTGATACTAGACTGCTGTGTTTGTAACAGCTACTGAAAGGAGAGTCTGTTAGTTCTCTGGTTCTTTTAAGTTTCAGTTTGGTATCATTTGTTTTAAAACATTTTTTAAAAACAACTACCACCACATACTCTTTAAAACAGTACCATTTCCATCTTGCTCTGTAACCATCTGCCATTTCTTAGTTTTCGCATTTTATCATCTCACAGACTACATTTTAGTACTAGGCCTTGTGCTGTTAGATCTTTTTAAAAGAAACTCCGTGTATGAGGTACACAAGAGGTACACAAATGCAATTGTTACTTATGTTGTCCCCTGAAGAACACATCAAGAAAAAACATTTTCCTGAGCCCCCATCGACATTTTGATTTTTCTCCAAGTTAGTGGAGGAAGAAACCTCCTTTGAAATTTGAAATGAAACATCAGTACTTTCCTGCTTTGTACACTGGCCTCTTGAGATGAAATTTCACCCACTCATATGTGTTCTTTGCAACCCTGCAGAGTCATCTAATCACCATGATTTCAACTTGTTCTTTTCAGATTTCAGGAAAACCTCAATTCTCGTGGGTGAAAAGCAAATGATTAATTCACAAAGCCATCCAGCTGGCTGTTAACCTCGAATTTGTGTCTCTTCATTTGTTTTCAGCTCATTTGCTATTCCTTACTTCCACAAAGTACAAAGCTTCCTGCTGCTGTGACAGGTGCAACATTAAATTCTGGTTTAAGATTTTATAAACTTGCCACTTAGGCTTCTGGGGGAAATGAAACAAGGGCAAAAAATCCCACAGATAACACAATGATCTCTTACCTGCTGCTTGTTGTTAGGTGTGTATGGCAGCATGGTAGAAACATGGAACATGATCTCATAGTCTTTGTATGTTGTGTACAGAGAATGGGTTCCAGTGGAATCAGCTACAGTAAAAAAAAAAAAATACATGAGACAACTGTAACAATAGGAAAAATAGTTCATTTAAGAGATGGATCTCAAAAAAAAAAAAAAAAGGGAAATGGTTTAGGATGAAGATATCCTAAGACAAGACACAGTATAGGAGTTCTTACCCATTTTTTGTACCCAATCCCCCCCTTGGCAGTCTAGTGAATCCTTTGGATTCCTTCCGAGAATATTTGTAAATGCATAACATAAAATACATAAGATTTCAACAGAAATCAATAGATTGAAAAATACCACTATCAAAACAATTTTAAAGTGATATACTAGCATAAGATTTATATAATAAGTTTAAGCAGTTGGTCTAATAACTACTATAATTCTGACACAGTGAAGTGCATAAGCAGTATCTTGACATATTTCCAACAACAAACAATATAGTATGAAAATACCTATGCTTTCTACTGGTGATAGAATCACAGGTAGAGCTTACACTACTGTGGTATGTTGCCTACATTCATAACTGAAGGAAATGCTAAATTTCAATTAGGGGTCAGTGAAGATAAATGTAAAATTACTTCCCATCCAAGTTCACAGACCCCTGAATTCCATCCATAGACTTCAAGTTCAGAACATCTTTTCCAATACTTCTGACTCAAGCAAAAGAACCGTTTTGTTCTTAACAAATAGATGGAAACTTAACAAGACTGTAACACTGAATAACAAAGGTATTACAGCAATGTCCAACAATTTAAGACTGAGTGTGTTCTGTTCTCACCTTCCTTAAGGAGAAAAACAACCTCGACCCCCTTAATCATTAACAAATCAACGTGCTCATAAATACCTGGAAACCAAAGAGAATTATTAACTGTCCAATTGAAGGGGAATATCTTTAGATTAGGACCTGGACTTACAGGCGGCAAAATGAACAGAAATGCATTCATTTTGGGTAAACTCAATCCTCCACCAACCATATTGCTAAGGAGCAAACACTTTACCGCATTTTAGAGAATGACGCTGCAAGACAGCCTCTGGCATATACCGAAAGGCAGTAGTTCTCAAACTGGACTGTGCATGGAATCAGCTGGGAAGCTGCTTAAAAGGCAGCTTCCCATCCTCCACTCCCAGAAATACTGCTCCGTAGGTGTGGGGCTGGGCAGAAGAATCTATTTTAATAAACACCCCCAGGGGACTCTAATGCAGTAGCTGCACTGCCCTTAGGCGCTGCTCCAAGAATAGACCATAAGGGAGGTTTGCAGAGACTTGTTAAGATGTTCTAGAGCCCTGAGTTTCAACCCTGGATCTTAATTTTGAAGAGGGCATAAAACACAAAGGGTTTTAAAAACAAGATAAATGTAGAATAAAGCAAAGACTACTTTTGAAAAACTGCAAAGATACGTACCAACACGTAAAGCCCCAAGAAAAATATCTTCTAAATGTTAACGACCGTTACCACAAAAAAGTACAACTGCAATAAATCACTGACCTACTTAATGACAGATCTTGAGTATGAAGGTTTCTATTGTTAAGGACCCTTGCTATAAATACCTCTAGAACTGATTCACACATTTTACAACTTTCAAGTCAATGTGTCAGCTGTGATGAGTACTTACATGTGTTTCAAGTCAATTTAAAGCAAAGTTAATGAACTAGAAAACAAATTATCATCCAGTGTTCATTTACTACATTTTGCTTTATATGTCTTTCTAATTCTAAAGGCATTACCACCAGGAAAGAAAAATGAAGGCAACCCTGAAGATAATTTGCTTTCTATTTCTTGTCCTTTCTCTCTTTCCGACGCTTGCCTCATTTTATACAATGGACGCTGCACGACCAGTCTTCTTATAGGGACCTCTGAAAACCTCAGCTTTGCTGATAATTTTAAACAGTCTGGAAACAGTTTCAAAAGTTTCAGACATGAAACTAGGGTCAAAACAATGAAATTTTCTTTTCTGAGAAGAAAGGAATTCCAAAATCCTGAAATTACTGTACATAATAGAATTGCTAAACTTTACCAGAGAGAATGGAAACTGAATGTTTGTTATATTCTCTGAAGAATAAGGCATTTAATGTTATTATTATTATTTTAGTGACCTTGAGACCACGAAATACTTAACAGAATGAAAATCAGGAAGATGACCCATTGGGAAAATGACAAAAACCTTTTTTTCTCTGGTTGAAACGAGTATATATTGAGTGATTTCTAAGGGGAAAAATATGTTTATAGAAGAGGGATAAAAAGAAGATAATGCTCCTTCATATTTGTATGGAGCTTTAAAAGTTAAAAAATAAATTTGGGCATCTTATAGGTCATCTTGATAATCATGTGATTTGCCTCCAAATTATACTACCAGCGAATGGTGTATATCCAGTAATAAGGTCTACAGTAAGTCCTAGAAAATAAAATTTCTAATATTCAAACTAGATGATAAGAAGACACTGAATAATTGAGGAATGATAAGAATATTCTTGTCAGCTGCTTTGAAAAGGTGTTGATAAGTGATAATACCCTACATTAGGCACTTCTATTTGAAGATGGTATGAATAGGTTAATAAGTTTGTAGAAAAGCAGTTTCAGATCCGGTCAATGTCACATTCATCCTCGACTTCTCTTGGCTCAACTCTTTTGCTTTAAGGGGAACAAAACTTGGATGATAAAGGTGGATGTGTAGGAATCTGAATCAGGAAAAAGTAATTCGATTTTTATGTAACCACTTCCTGGTCACTAACAGATACGTTTGACTTCAGAAAAGTGAGATAAAGGATCAAGCCTAAGCAATTTGATTTTGGGGAAGTTCCTAGTTTTAAATATTTATGAATACAAAGAGAAAAGCAATCTCATGACCTAATTGCACGTAGACTAATAAAGTCAATAGAATGAAGAAAGCTTAAGCTCAGCTTATGAACGTCCTCACCACTATAGAACACATCAAATGCAGAACAAAATCACAGACAGGTTGCGGATCTGATTATTATCCATAGCTTGAAATCCTACAATAGTCAGCTGGCTGCTGAGGGCCATCCATTTAAGACCCCAGATCTCCTTTCTATGAAAGCTTGCCTCCGGGTCTGGGGATGCAGAGGTCAATGCTCAGAAGCACAGCCGGGGACAAGTATTAACATCTGGAACACTGGATGGCACACCTCTTGTAGTACTGTTCACGCCTCCTCGTAGCACTATTTCACCCACTCAGTAACAAAGTATTCGGGGAAGTCAAGAATCCCACCTTCTCTGGCATCTACCATATTTACTCATACTTTTTCAATGTACCTTTAACCATGGTCAGGAGGTAGGTTACTTTACTTCACTGAGGAAGGGATCAAGGAGAGTTTGTAATACCACCCTTTGCCATGACAGGAGAATTCATACTGTGTCAGTTCAGGGAACGTGCAAGTATGCATGTGTATGTGCCCAGGACTGAAGGCTTCTTAAAATCACTAACATATGGTGAGAAAACGATAAGCGATGATGTGGGACAGGTACTTAGGAATCAGTTACTACTATTTTCTACCTACAGAGCACTTTGCAAGATACCTGCAATTACCTGGATTCCCACCTGGAAGTAAGAAGACCTGAATTCCAATACCTCCAGCATCATTTACTAAATGACCACAAACAAGTCACTTCACTTCTCCACCCCTTGCCCCTCGATATTCTTCTCACTGTTGTGAGGATTGAAACAATGCATATGAAAGTACTAGCCCATAAAAGATGCTCAAGAAATGTGTTGATCAGAACTTAGAATTTTGTGCAGTTGAGATAAAAAGTGTAGCTGCCTTAAATAGGGCCTTTTACATATTTTAATTTCTTTGCCAACTGCATCTCAGTAACACTCAAAGGAAAAACCTTACACTATAACACAGTTTAAAGTTTAGGAGGTGAAAAAAGAAAACTTTTCTTCATTCATCAGTCTCTAGAACTCCAAACAGTCCTTTGCATGTGTGAAACATTTAAATAAGGCTAGTTTTACTCCTTTCTTTATCAAAGGTTAAATATTCCAAATAAAGGATTTATTTTCTTTATGGAAAGTCTTCCATCTCCTCTAAGACCGTGAATCTCAACAATCTTTTTTTTTGCGGTACGCGGGCCTCTCACTGTTGCAGCCTCTCCTGTTGCGGAGCACAGGCTCCGGACGCGCAGGCTCAGCGGCCATGGCTCATGGGCCCTGCCGCTCCGCGGCATGTGGGATCTTCCCGGACCGGGGCACGAACCCGTGTCCCCTGCATCGGCAGGCGGACTCTCAACCACTGCGCCACCAGGGAAGCCCTCAACGATCTTTATAATACTGCTGAAAAATGGGGGAAGCAACAAGCATTCACTAATATTGTGGCAAATCAAAGAAGGCAGAGCTTTGAAGGAATGCTTTTCAAAGGGTTTCTAAGTCTCTTACGTGCTGACTTGACAAACATGCTTCATTCGGGAAATAATTTCCCCAATAATAATCCATACACACAGCTTAAAATGAGGGTGGTCTCCAGCTTTCAAATAATAAACTGCTTGGTGGGAAGCTTATTTTCCACACACTGTAGTGTGAGCGGATGGTAATTATCTAGAGGTTATGCCATCCAAATAATGAAACAAAAAAAGGAGAAAAAAATTTACTCCTGAAAGTTTCTTCATTGCAGAACTGTTCCAACCCCTGACACATCTGTAGCTTGTTTGCTAGAAGTCCTTATTTCTGAGATGGAAACTGGACTTTGTATGGAACACTGGGAAAAAGAAGAAATGGTTTGACAGTTCCATCAATGCTTCCTTTCCTGAGCCTCTTCCTCCTTTACCAAAGTACTAAAATCTGAATATAATTATAATACATGACAAGTGGAGCTGTCTCATGAGACGGCTTGAGTATTTTTAGCTCAAGGGCTCGAGAGAGGGGAAGATACAGCCACAAGGCAGAGCTCTGCGGGCTTCACTCTACCTAATTCTACATTTATGCTTTCTCTAAACACATCATTAACCATAACACTAGGACCTGTTCTCCCTCCTTAATGCTTACTAGCTGCCTAACCTTGGGCACATTAGTTAATCTAAAGAAGCCAATTCTGTAAAATGGGGATAACTGGCATCTAGCAGAGTTTGTAGGGATTAAATGAGATGACACGTAACAAGTATCTAAGACTTCTACTTCTGGCCATAACAGCACTTGGTAGAGGACCTGCTCTCCCATTGTAAATAAACAGAAAAATAGACAAAATATCTGAAACAACCTTTTTTCAGACATTTTACAATAGGCAGCATTGGATAGTGTTCCCTGAGGAAAAAGTATCAAAGAAGGTTGAGCCCTGATTCCCACCCAGCTTTCTACCTGGAAGTACTTTCAAAACAATGGCACAGAGCAGGGATTTGAAGAGGGGAGCTAAAACATGCTGGAGGTTTGGAAGGTTGAGGTGGCTGATATTTGCTGGGCAGAATACCAAAGAAGAGGAAACCACACGGTGAAAGAGGCTCAGAAATCTACACAGGGGTTCCCTTGAGTCTTGGGCTGAATATTAAGCTGCACAAGCATAGAGTGAGGTTCCAAAAGCCAGGCAAAGAAAAAACATTAAGGTAATGTACATCATGGTGACTACAGTTAATAACACTGTATTTCACAAATGAAAGTTGCTGAGAGAGTAGATCTTAAAGGTTCTCATCGTAAGAAAATAAAATTGTGTAACTAGACTTATTTTGGTGATCATTTCGGGATATATACAAATACTGAATCATTATGTTGTACACCCAAAACTAATACAGTGTTATATATCAATCATATCTCAGTTAAAAAAAAAAAAAAGAAAAGAAAAACTATTGGGGAAACAACAACTACCAGAGATTTGTCAGCCAAACAATTCTCAAAGTTCACA